CTTTCCCTCTCCCCTTGTGGGAGTCTGTACTTGTTCTTCAATAAATTTCCACCTTTGCTATACTGCCCTCTTTCTGTGGATTCATTCTTCGACTCTGGCAGACAAAGAATCTTGGTTCCAGTCCAAAAATTACATTTCAGTGGAGGCCAAACCTGCAAAGCAAGTATGTGCCCTTGATCAGGAATCAAACCCATGACCCTTCAGTGCATGGGCCAACACTCTAACCACTGATCAACACTGGCTAGGTCCCCTTTTCTTTAGATGACTTCCTCATTCTTTTATTCGATAAACAGTTACACATGTCAATTGTCTGGCACCAATTCATCTCCAACAGGAATCCCCAATTAAGGGTGTGTTGAAAAAGGAAACATTTTTTTGTGCAGAACAGCTAAAGTGTGATATAGCACAGCTATGAGAATATCACCACTGTGAGGCAGCCTTAGGGCCAGGCAGGCCTAGGGCCAGCCCCTCTGCAGCAGTCAGCTCCAGACTAGGGAGGGGGAGATGCATTCTTGAGTTTTAGTGGAAAGGGAAATATTCCTTTCAGAGCCAGAGGGGAGCTGGCTATATGGACAGAAGTCTCCACCTCTGGTCCCTAATTAGTCTGTTGTCATGCAAATTAGGACTTCAAAGCCTCACAGTTTGGTCCAAAAGGCACAGTCCTGATGGGTCAGAACAGAGCTGCTCTGGTTGATTGTAGCTGCCAGAACTCTGATTGGATGGGAAAAGCCTCAGTCCTATTGGTTGAAATAGGATTCCAGGAACTCCCTTATAAGGGCTTGCTCAGATAGCAGGAACACAGTTCAGTGCAGGCTTCTTCCTGAAGTGCAGTTTGCAGTAAGAGACCTCTGTGTAGAAATGCCTTCTAAGCACTTTTTCTTTAAGTTTGAGCCACCAGGAGCCCTTAGTTGGCATCTTCTTTCTCAGCGATCTCACACAGAAAAAACCACCCCTCAATACTAATACTTTGTGCCACTCACCTGCCAAACTGGCCTCCTCTCCATCCACTGACCTTGCCAGTGGCAACGGGGACAGGAGAGGAAAGCCCGTTACCCAGAGACCCCTCCCTCCTCCTCCGCTCCTCTCCCCACAACTGTGGGCTGCCTGACTGCCTGAGGCGGGAAGGAAGCCTGCGGTTTGTGCACCAGGCCTCCCTCCCAAACCCTCCCTCCCCCAGGGCGAGCTGTTTCACTTCCTCCCGAACTCCCCTCAGGCAGGAGTATCTCAGTGCCCCACAACCTTCGCCATGGCTGATACATATGCGGTGGTGCAGAAGCGCAGGGCTACTTCAGGCCCTGGGTCAGGGTCTGGAGCATGCAGCACGGAGGGGGCACCGCTCTACAGCCATGTGACGCCGGGCACCCGCTGGCTGCAGGCACCCAGAGAGGAGGAGGCACAACTGGGCGGTGGTGAGTTGACAGGCTGGGGGAGGGGTTGGGGAGGGCCGGCCCCATTTCCTTCTGGGGACCACCACAGCTGGACCCTCTGCCCCAGGCAGATCTGGCCACCGCCTGGCTGCTGGTCACGACCGGAAGTGTCCCAGGCCAAACCGCAGGGCCTGCACTGGGTGTGCTTCTCCGGAAGTCACCTTGTTTGAGCAGAGGTCTGGGACCTGCCCCCTCCTCCCTTCTCCTTCATTCCCACCCCCACCCTCTACGGGAGCCCATGCGTGAAG